CTTACTCACCTTTTTGACAAGGTTGAAAACTGTTTGGTTAATTTCTGTGTCACGTTTAAGTTCACGCGTCTAAATTCCTCTATCAGTTTTAAGATTTTTAAATCTTTTTTAATTTTTATTTCTTGCAAATTATCATTAATTGTTGTACTATATTATTATATGCCCAATCAGTTAAATCGAAGATTTACCGTATGTATACATTTATTCATTACATATACGCGCATATGTGTACATTGAGAAAAATATCCAATTGGATATAATCCAATTACATAATAACAAACGAATATACCCGATTAAATTGTATGCCCGATGAAAAATACGGTCGGTTTTCCGATCAAATTTCATCGGATAAATTCCATCGGATATACGTATAATTTAATCGGAGAAGTTAATCGGAACAATTAATCATCGGAAGCACTATTTAATTGCTTTATCCGGTGAAAAATTTTCTCAGTGTATATACATTTATTTACGCTTCGACAATTTTCTTTGAAGTCAAAGTTCAGACCTCTCTTTCCTTCGCCTTTCCTTTCCGAGATTTAGTCACAGACTAAAGGCGAGAGAATTTCATTTGCGTCGTTCCGATCCATTGCATATTCGAGCGATGTAAGATTTTCGTGGAACGAGCCAATCGTGTATCCGCGTTCCGTGCAGGTGCACGATGGAAGAGGGAAAAAAAAGAGAGGATCGATACCAGCGTCTCGTCTCGTGCAAAATCCGTAAGGGGTTTTTCGCGGGGGATCGCGGACCCTCCCTCCCTCCCCTTTTTTTTCGAAGCGACCTCCCTTTGATGTCGCCGGACGGAGTCGAAGATTTTGAAATTCCGGCCGGGGTACCGGAAAGAGCGAGAATTTCACTTACGTCGTCGATCTTCGCTTATCCGGGGGCCGTGTAAAATTTTCGGGGAAATACACGGCGCACATGCAGGCGTTGCCAGCCGCATATTCGAGAAGCCCAGGTGCACCATCGCCATCGGGGGACGCGATCGGCGCGGCGGTGTGCGCGCGCGAGGGAACCCAGGCATTACCTTCCTACCCGACCCTCACGTGCCGTCCCTTTTTCTTCGTTCCGCCGCGGCATATCGGGCACGATTTTTCAAAGCGACTCACGTCCTCTCAATGTGTGATATGCCTCTCAAGCGACACGAAGCCGAGGGAGGCACGCGGCTACGCGCTGCGTGTGCGTATACCTACGCTCAGCCGGTGCCATATATTAATGCATACACGCGGTGTCCCACCAAAGAGAATGAGAAAGGGAGATTCGCAAAGTCACTTTTTACCCGCGGATTTTCTAAGCAAAAATATGGAGAAGCCGACCTTTCTTTGGCAAAGACGACAAGAGCCTGAAACGCTACGCGATTGAAGCTGCAAGGGGGTTTTTTTTTCGGGGACCGAGCTTTGAAGCGCAAGCACGGTGAAGTCGTATCCTTCGTTCAGTCCTGCTTATATTTTAAAGATTGCACGGACAGTTTTGATATTGAAATTTTACAGCAAGTAGAGACAGGAGATCCTTTAGGATTTAAGAGAATTGTAATCGTACGAAACGACGGGGCGGTGAGTCTTCGAAATAATCCCTGAGCAAACATTATTCGTTGTTATTTGTATTATCGCTTAAAGCGCGTAATTCAAGCGATATTACAATTCTTTCGAGTCATAGCGAGTGCATATAAGCTAAAAGCTTTCCTCGGTACGTTCTTTTGTCAGGATCATTGTCGTTCAACAGAAAGCAGACGTGCTGCTTTCTGCAGATAATGCTGATGCCTGCAGATAATCCTCCTCTTCTCCCCCTGGCTCCTGTCATTCGAAAAGCATGAAAGCGTATTCTTGCTCCCTTAGAAGATTTACTTGTCTCGAGTACCTTCGTGTCGTTACACGCTAGATCGTGTCATATTTATGCTTTCCCGTGCTCCAGAATCATATTCATGCCGCTTCGGAATAAGTTCACCGACTGACAACGCGAGTGGGTCGAGAGTCCGCAGTTTCGGGAAGATTTGAGCCAACTCGGAGAGTCGCTCAGACATCTTACTTTCCATCATAGACTTAGGCTAGTTTTCACAGTCGGATCTTATATTCAAGACTGGCTCAAAATCGTCTTTAGATACTCCGTAGCCAATAAAATGTTCCGTACAGCATCTTTAGATAAATTCAAGACGGTCTTGAATATAAGATCCGACTATGGACAGTATTCATAGTCAGATCTTCTATTCAAGACCAACTTAAGATCATCTTTAGATACTCCGTAGCCAATAAAATGTTCCACACAACATCTATAAATAAATTCAAGGCGGTCTTATACTATATTATGTTATCTTCAGGGTTGGGAAAGTTACTTTGTAAAAGAATCTAGTTACATTTACAGTTTCTTCGCTGTAAATGTAACTAGTTACAGTTACAAGTTACCAATTCTGAAAAGTAACGCGTTACGTAAATGCAAGGCCTGATGCAATCTGTGAAGGTTTAAAAAATATATAAAATAACTATTAATGTAACTATTAAATTACTTACTAGTTATCGAAAAAATGTAACTGAGTTAAGTTACAGTTACAGATGGAGAGAAAGTAACGAAGTTACCCTAGCGGAAAAATTTCTATAAATAACTACAAAAAATTGACTTGTAATAGAAATTTGTAGAAATTTTTATATCTTCGTTGACATTTATTTTTTGTAAAAATATCTACAAAATAGTACCACAAATTACAATGTTCTCAAATCAAGAAATTATTGCGAGTAATATTTCATGAAAATGTACAATTTTGTAAAAATTAGTACAAAACTTTACTGGATTTAAAAATTTGTGAAACAACAAATCTTAAAGAATTAAAACATCTGCTTACTTGTAGAATATTACAAAAATTAACAAAAGTATTCCAATTCTAGCATTTTCATGTTGATTTTCACAACACTTTTTAAATTTACGTAAAATTTCATAGATTCTGGCAGTTATATTTAATTTTCTTGTAGAATTTTGTAGAATTATTTCCGGCAGGGTAGAGTTACCAAAAAAAAAAGTAATTGTAACTGTAACTTCGTTACTTCCCAACCCTGATTATCTTATACTATGTCTATGCTTGCCGTAATCCAAAAAGAACGTGCGGAAAAGTTCTCCGCCGCTGGTCGCACCGTTTCGTTACAGCATAATGACTTTAAACCTGTCTTACTCTTGGAATTAATCGCGTCGCGTGACTCGGTCTACTTGTACTCTCGGCGTTTCGCTCTAACGGGACACAAGATGTCACCCCTCGCGATAACGAATGGACGTTAACTCGTGTGATAACTCTACATAACAGCCGCTAAGTTGCCGCGAATTGCGTAAAAACGGTTTTAAATGTATAATAAATGCAAGCGACCGATTTCTTTCGCCGGGAAACACGCGGCGATACGAACGGCCTCGTCATGCCTCGCGTGATAATCGCGCGCGGGTCTTTTTTCTTCGGCACAGCCGCAATAACGGACGACAACGACGACGACGACGACGAGGACGACGTTGATAAACCCATTCTCGCGGCTGTATAGACGCGCGTTGCAACACCGAAGGAGACCGTACATACATCAAAGTCTTTGATTTTCCGCGGCTGCCGAATCGCTCCGCGAAATCTGAATTTTTATACGAAGGCAAAAGTGAAAGAGGGTAAAATCACCCTGTCAAAGGCAAGCATATTCGCTCTAGCGGGACCGGAGTGATTTATATTGAAATAACACCGTCAGGTAAACGAACAGATTGACGGATAAGCCGGCGCGCGGGTGTGCGCTCGTGCGTGTATTTTGGCATATGCGTGTGATATATATATATATATATGTATGTATATATAAACACATATATGTTTCATCGTCGAGATGTATGCGAAGACTATATCCCCGCGTAAGAGAGGCTTGGCAATGTTCGAGCTCGCTGAAATAACTCCAGGATTGCCTTGAGAGGATCATCCTTATTTGAAAGTTGGATGAAAATCTCATCGTCCTCGGGACGTACCTCGCCGGAAGATGACCCCGAGATCCGACAGTTCCTGGCACTGATAAGACGCAATCGAGCCCGGGCCGAAAACGGATTTAGAGTGGATTTAAAGTGACATATTTAGAGATACGGTTCAATTTATTCCGAAGACGTAGAGGCCTGGCGCAGCCTCTCCGGCGGTTTAGATACAATGTACCGCGCATGTATACAGGATAATCCCAAGCTTCGTCCTCGTAATCTTCGAACAAGCTTTTAAAGTAAAAGAGGTTTTACTTTAATCACAATATGGTATTCTTTCTTTCTCTACTTATATATTTGCACATTAGACGGCGTGTATACGATTTTCCGACAAAAATACATAAAAATATCGCTGGACTCGCCCCTCTCGTACCGTCGAACGGCTGCGCAACGACGAAACTAATTTTAGGACGCGCTTCTTCAGATGTCGAAACTCCTCTGGCTCTTGACTTGCGTATAATAGCATTCCTATTGCATGTAAATTTCCCTCTTGCGAGCGCGTGGGCGACGACGATGACGGCAGGGGCGGGTGTGCACACGGACATCGAATGCGACGAACTGGCACCGCTGGCAGATACAACCTGGCTGTTAGTTTAGCTCAGTTTAATTTAGTTTAGTTTAGTTTAGTTTAGTCAATAGTTGGGCCGTTATTGTACCCCGACGTGGCAGCGAGCGCCGGAGGACCACCCTCTTCATTTGCATACCGGGTGTGCCCGCGTAAATACTCGACTCGGGAAAAGTCCGCTCTCGGCACATCAAAGGGACACGGCGCGAATTAACCCGCGCGTCACCATCCCGCCCGCAAACAGAACCGGCGGAATATCGGCTTTGAACGCGTCGGCGTCATTGTCGCGCGTTAAACGCGCCTTGGCGCGCGGCGATAAAGCGCGCCTGTTGTCGGCCGTCGGAAAGTTTCGCGAATCTCTCGGCACGAAGGACAATTAACATTCCCCGATCAAATAGAGCGAATTTAATAGACGGTCGCCCCGCGGTAGACGGCACGTATACGCTCGCAAGTGTTAGACACATCGTGTTAAAACGTGTACCGCACTTTTATTGGCTTAATCGATAATATACAAGCAATTCACCTGTCGGTGTTTACAAAGAATCGCATATAAAATAGTTTATTCTGCGCACAATATACGTATATCCAATATAGTTTTATTTACCAATAAAATATATGCAAGGATCTTAAACACTGGGAGTCTTACGCGCGATTCAAGGAACAGAGTGATGCGAAGTGGCAAGTTGTTGCTTATCAGGAAAAAAAAGAAGTACAATTACAAATACTAAAACTGTGATACGCGATATAATAAACTAATGTACACTTTATGGTAGAAGAAAACTTGAGAGGAATCTGTCATCGATACCTAGCGGCGAAATTAATCATTAGTATAACAATATGTACAAATAATAATTTTCTATTTTATACATTAATAATTTCGTTCAAGCGGCATTAAAACTGGTATATACATGAAGGCTCGTGTTGCGACACTAAATTAACCCGCGACTCGGCAGGGGAGAAAAAGAATTAGGAATTGTGAAGTATTTTATTAAAAGCGTTGTACGACGTCTCTAGATCGAATATCAATTGTCTGACTTGAGTGTCCGATAATTCGTCCGAGGCGGACATATTGTCGAGGGTCTGCAGCCACTCTGAAACCTTCTCTTTACCGTCGAAGTCGCTGGGTAAAATACTGAGGCGGTTCATGGTGTCCATGAGGTCTCTCAGATCCGGGTGCAATTGATCCATGGCTTTGATCTCCAGCCGCAATTTATCCATGAGCGTGATGAACAGCGAGACAATGTCGGCGATGCATTTGGAGGTGTTGCCCTTGTCGTCCTTTATCGTGATCGGCCTGTCCTCCTTGATTCTCTCGAGGGCAGCGGGACAATCCAGGCGGAACGCTCTGGTGAAGGAGTCGATCGTCGGAAACTGATCGCTCTGTACCTACAGCCAGACGATGGAAATTATATTCTTCGTTAAACGTACTTGATAAATATATCAATCGTACACTGAGGTTTCTCTCGATCACGACTCGTTTCTTCACGCTGGACGCTCACCTGCTTAAACGCCGCTCTGTACTGCACCAACAGTTTGCTGCACGCCGCCGTGTATTCCTTTGGCGTAACGCAGTCCCTGATGTAGGCCTTTTCCAAGTGCTGCAACGTGTTCACCACGGCGTACAGGTCCGCCTGATTGTCGTGTTTCTCCCTCTCCCGGGCGTTTTTGTACAGCTTGACTTCCTCATACAGCTCGGGTCGATCCTGAGCGACCGACATCGTTCTACAACTGTAAAGCAATATCCCAATGATGCTGAAAAGCCCCTTCGAGGTTAGGTACGCGCGGCCACGCCTATCCGTTCGCAGAGATCTCGGTCGCTTCGCTGGAGCAGCAAGTGTCGCGATAATTCGCAAGGTTGATCGACTTCGATTTCTTCATTAACAAAGATTGCAGCAACTCGACGGGATATCGAACGTGCGGCTGCGATGCAATGGGAAACGGTTTCGAAGCGTGTAGCACTTACGTACCTTTATGCCGCGGATATCGCCGATTTCTATTTAGTTTTATCTATCCAATGACAATTAGAATCCTTAGATTGTACCGAGACGTCAAGAACAATGAGACCACAGCGGCCGACAGCCAGCTCTCGACTTTAACAGCTCTTATCGCTAATACAACAGTAACACAGCAGCGCTGGCCGCTGACGAATCATAGAATGCAAAGCCACCTGCTGCGAACATGTAAAAGCAGAATACGCGAGACGGCAGCGATCCACCTTACCTGCCGTAAATGCCTGCGCTCGTTTTCTCCCACTGGGAGCACAAACTGTACTAAAAATTTATAATTTACGTAACGTAAACTATAGAGTTTTAGTATAGTTTATGCTTCCAGTGGGAGAAAACGGACGCAAGCATTGTAAAAATATAAAGCGCAACGCATGACGTATACATATCTTTGATTCAAAAGTGATTGGGTGTGTAACACAATCCCACCTTGCGAATATACTGCTATCTTTCGCGGCCGATACAAATATCTGAAGACGAAGAGCTATTAATTAGAAAATATATTTAATTTATGAAATTATAACAGCGATGTTGCAAACATTAAACAATCTTTTGTCGATCTAACACATTGTAAATATATAAAGCGCGACGCATGACGTATGTCTTCGATTTAAAAGTGATTGGGTGCGTAACACAATTGCACCTTGCGAATACACTGCTATTTTTCGCGGCTGATGGGTATATCTGAAGACGAAGAGCTCTTAATTAGAAAATATATTTAATTTATGAAATTATAACAGCGACGTTACAAACTTTAAATAATCTTTCATCGATCTAACACATTGTAAAAATATAACGCACGATGCATAACGTATATCTTTGATTCAAAAGTGATTGGATGCATACAGATTGCACAAGTTATACTTCGTATTATCTACAGCGATTCTATATAGGGTGAGTTATATTTCGTGAACCAGTCTTGTATTATGGATTACCGACCGAAACTGTAGACAACCCGGCAAAACATGGAAAAAATCTTGTTGTATATGTTTCAATCATGTAATATCTAATTATATATCTCAAGGTGCAATTAGATATTACCTAATTGAAATATTTATAACGAAATTTTTCCACTTTTTCCAGAGTTGGCTACAGTTTCGGTCTCTCATGGTAAAAGACTGGTTCACGAAATAAAACTCACCCTGCATAACAAGATTATCACAATCGTATACATACATTTGAAATTGCGGCCGGCAGCATCTGACGAAAGGAAACGCGGAAAATGCTCTTGTCGTAAGGTACAATATCAAAAAACTGTGCAACATATATCATCGTAAATAAAAAACGTTAAGTAAATTAGAAATTAAATATATGTTGCATCACATCGGGCTTATCACCGCTAGGCTTCCTCGCGCAGAACGGCAGTTCTCTCTGCTCTTCTATGCAGGGACAGTTGAACTCTCTGAGAACCCGCTTCTCGCGCTCACGCGATTTTTCCGCGCTTTCGCGATCAGGTGTTCTCAGTATGTGCTGATCATTACTTATACTTAAATACGTCACTTCCAAGGTAAGATCGTCCTTATCCAAGACGTTCCAAGGTGGATAAACGTTTATCACAACTTCCGACATCATTTTCAACGTACCAACTATATCACAGACTAGCATTATTGTTATCTTCAGACATGAGACTCCCCTCAGTCGTTCCCCTCGAGCGTTTTCCGCCTGCCCGTCGCTTTGCAGGAGATTGTAGCGGTCCTCGATCAGGACGCCTCTCAGAAACTGATTGCCGAATTGCCTCGTGGACTCGCGCACGAGTACGCTGACGTACCGCGCCGACGCTTCACGATCCTTGTTCATCCGATGACACCATATTCGAACGTCGGATACTTGCGCATTGACCAAAGATTGCAGCCTCGCAACCATGGTCCCTCTGCAAAGCAAAGATGTAGTGTTAGAAATTGCACTTGTGATATGTACACTGTTGATACCTACTTCTTCGGTTTGCGGCGTTTCTTTCCGGAGTCCAAGAGGCGCGCGTACGTACTCCTATCCGGGGACTTTCTCGACGGTGTTGTTATCGTGCTAACAATTTGGCTCGTCTTCTCGATGGTTTTACTCAGAGACGGCACCTCGGAGATCCTCGCGGACGGATGTGTACTCTGATTCTGCATCATTTCTGCTTCCGAACAATAAGTTTCATTCAGGTCGTCGGTAATTAATGGCAAGGACGCGAACGGTTGTCCGGAAGAGACTGAGTTTTGATCCGCCACCGAGAGCTGAGATGTTTTCCTAGTTTCCTGGGTATCGGCGTCCTCTATGAACTCGCTTAAATTATTGCTATTGCTAGATGCAAGCGTCAGTTCATCATTTTCCTCGTCTCGGCTGTCGTTGCTCGTGTCTGTCTCTATCTTGGAATCATTCTTATCAGTGCTGTCGCTCGAGCTATCGGAGAAGCTCAGCTTCTCTTGCGTCGGCGACGAAAACGTCTCTATACATCCCCAATATTTCTCTGAACTTACTTCGGTTGAGAAGATCAACGCTTTGGCTCTGATATCCAAATCTTCCTCCTGCTCCGCAGGCGTCTTTCCCAGAGTATTGCAATCAGGCTCCGTCGTTGGTTTTACATTTGTACCTGTGGTTTCGTAGTTCAGCGACTTTGAGCACCTCGGCAAGATCTCCGGTTTGTACTGCGATATTCTTCTCTTTTCCTTAAAAATGCAACGCGACGTGGCATTGAGAACAGGAGATGCCTCGTTAGCAGCCACGTCGTCCGTACCGGGTGAAGTGAGCGGCATATCTCTCGTGCTTTCTCCTCTATATCCACAACGTGGCTCGGTCCACGTGGCAAGGTTTGCAGGATATCCCGCGTCCTCCTGGTGATTCGCAGCGACCAGCTTTCTCGCCTTAACGTTTCCATCTGTATAAATCTTCCTCTTGGTGTTGTCGACCAGTTTCCTAAAGCTGCCGAGTATCGGCGATCTCTGATAGGTCGTCGACGTCCTTAGAACAGGGGACGAGGGGCAGGGGTTGCGTTCGTCGTCCTCCGTCTGCGTCTCGAGCCACTTGCGTACATAGTCTGCCTTCTCGGTGCGCGGTATGCGAGTGACGTTCTCGTCGAACACAAGGACGCGACTCGACGCGGCGGCCCGCTTGTCGACGCCGCACTCGAGAATCGCTTGGCCGAAATTCAAGGATCTTACGTGCCTCGGCTTGACACCGCGCGACGACGCACCCCCGCGACTGCTGCTCGCTCCGTCGTGGTCCGACATCGCGGGTAAATCCGATTATTTTTGTACGCTCCCGCTGGCGCGGAATCGCACACGTCGCGCACGTTGGCAGCTTCCGCTTCTTCATAAAACGGCATCTGCCTTCACACGAAGAGCAATACGGCCGGTCTCAATCGTAAGACCCGGCCTGCAATGAGTTGTTAGTCGCTAGAAGTCGGAACTACATCCTATTTTTCCGGATGAAACACACGTAGTTGGGAATCACTCGAAGAATGGGATACTAACTTGTAAGTCGGGAAAGTGTACGTGTGTGTGTGTGTGTATGTGTCCGCAGTGGTGAACTCGGGTCTGCGGGCTCGTTGCCTCCCAAGAAATTGCACGGACCAATCCTTCCTGCGGTAGCACGTCGCCAGCGTTGGAGCTAACGCGCTCGCTGGGCGCCGCCATGTCACCTCGTTGCCGTAGCGACCAGTCCGCGCCTAGAGGCCGTTGCGCCCCGCTCGAATACCGGCGCGACGGTGAAATAAGCGAGAGTCGATCAATCCCGATCGATTGTTTTCCACGACTCGAGAGAATTGTTGGGCTGCGCGCGTTCGATTCTACCGTCGCTGACTTAAATTTCTAAACTCTTGAAAACTGAGTCTAAAAAGATGTTCATTTTATTTAATTTTTTGTATGGCTTGCGCTTAAAATCGCAAAACTATGCGCGCTTTTCAACGGCGCCTTGTCGCACGGAAGAAATCGCGGAAGAGGATCCACAATTTTCGAAACAAACTTTGAAAAGAACTTTGTACAATTGCATCAATGAAAGTAGATTGTAAACATTTATTTAAGATCGACATTAGGTCGATAGGTGCACTGAAAAAAAGTTGGCTACCGTAGCTAATCATAATTTGCTAAAAATATTTTGCTGCCGTAACTATAAATTTCTAAAGCACAACGAATGGTTTGCTGTCGCACCTAATATATAATAATAGGCACAATAGCAAAATATTAGCTGTTTGCGTACTTTACAACTGAAATTTAGTTACCACGTGCAGTTTTTAGCTACATTTTTTTCCGTGTGTAATTGATACAATTTTTATAATAGTTAACATAAATGATTTTTATCCGCACACAAAGATAGAAAATATCTATTTACGTACAGCTAATTTTTGTATATGCTTTACAGTTCTTATCTTCTAATGGCGCAAACCTTGATCGAAAACGAGACCCAGTACGAATGAAAGATAAAGAGGGTATCGATCTAATTAGCGAATAAAAAGAGACTATCTCAAAGTGCGTCCAGTGCTTTACCTATCATTGAATACGACAAATCCAGCGGTCTTCAGAAGAATTGCAATATTAAAGAGGAAATCAATTTGGCCTTTAAATCGGATAATACGAGTTAATCAAGAGACGTATGCGTATCGCATTTATTAACGCGTTGAAACACACATCCTACCGTACGTACGATAGTTTTATATTCCGTTCTCCACGCCTTCCCACTTCGACGGCGTGCTTAAATGTACAAATGCGAGATTTAGTGTGATAATATCCTGTGCTCCGCGAACCTGCCTCAATAGCATCCGTTAGAGCCCTGATTTGAGCATGCGGATGTGACACTTGGACGACTATCTTACCCCGATGCCAAGTGCTCTTATTCAAATGGAACGACTAGGTGTTCCTTCCGATCCCGTTCCGACCGTGATTGAACCCTCGCGCTCTCGTAGCATTATCATGCTAAGCGTTTTCGGCCAGAACGTACCTAAGAGTCAATCGAAGCTTTCCACCACATAAGTAACGGATGCCAGGGGAAAGAAAACAACCAGTTTATTTATTCCGAAGAAGGCACAATTTATTTGTGGCTCATTTTACAATAATATTAACTTACTCGTGTAATAAATCGTTCCATTGACGCCTTTAGTAGTCTCTTCTTAACTTCTCTCTTGTTTTAAAAGTAAGGTTTGATAACAGCGCTTTTGTAACACCATAGCTTCCAGTGGACTCCGTCGTTTTTGCGGGACTAAATGACCGGGAACTCATTGTCAGTAAAATGGATAGAGAAATAAAGAGATAGATATAGATAGATAAATAGAAAGACACAGAGAGAGAGAGAGAGAGATAGAGAGATGGCGAGAAAGGGTTTAGACCGGTGTGGAAATCTAAATCGGCGAGAGAGCACCGCGCTATGTTGGCCGCGCGGGCACAATTACCGGGCGGCGAGTGTCGAGGAACCCCATTTTATATATTAATAGTCGAGATAGAGCCGCCTGTGTGTCACGTTACCGAGAGGGCCACCTCGGTTAGGACGGCGGGAGCCAGGGGGAGGCGGTCTCGGAGGATCGTTGTTGGGAAGTGGAAGAGATCGGGAAGGGAGGATCGGTCTCGCGCGCGAGAGCGAGAGGGCTCGAGAGGCTCGTACGATCGATCGAGGGAGATCGAACGTTCGGATTCGCGGGACGGCAGAGGGGGGACCTCGAGGGGAGCCTCGAAATGATAGATACGAGGACGGGTATAACGCACCGGACCCCTTGCATCTACATGGTAGCCTCAGTTCCAGTTCGCGATGGAGGCTACTTGCTCCTTCTGGCACTAGGTAGTTGTGCGCTCCTTACCAGGGTGTGAGACCGGCAGAGCGCGATCGAGAAGAGAGAACAGGGTGAGAAGAAAAGAGGGACAAGTCGAAGGGGAGAAGAGTGAGCGAGATAGAGGAGGGAACGTTAGCTGACGAGGAAGAAAAGAGAGAAAGAAGGAACTGTGGCAGTGTTGAGGAAGAGAACGGAGAGCAAAGCGGGTAAGAAAAGAAGAAGCTATCAAAGTCAGCGGATAGAGAGGGGTAAAATAGTCGACGCGGTGTGCTGCGAGACCCGACGAGGAAGCGTCGGTGAGTCCTCGTTCCGTTCCATATATTTCGGGGTACGTCGAACCCCCTCGAGCCTCACCCTCGGCGTCCCGGTCGGCGGTGCGCGCGAGGGACGTCGACTCGCGGTGGCGGTCCAAGACGAGCGTCGTGAGGCCGCGCTATTTCGTAGCGCGAACCGCGTATGCGTAATGCACACGCATACACGTCGTCGTGGCGGAACGGAGGTGACCGGATGCCGGGCGGTGCAGTGATTCGATTGATTCGCTGAAGAGTGTTCGTGGCTTCCACCGAACTTCCGAGTGCCGCGTTAACTGAGCGTATTATACGTGTGGGTGCGTGTGTGCGTGCGTGTGTGCGTGCCTCTCGCTACGTGAACGTATTATACGTACGTACGTGCGTGCTTGCGTGCTTGCGAAGCGAGGAGCGCTGATCGGGGGCTTATACAGTGACGCCTTGGGCGCTCTTGTGTACGTGCGGGGTTCGCGAAGGAAGGCAAAGGCGGCGGAGTCCCTCGGCTGGTCACCGAGGTGGTCCACCCAAGTGAGAAGCATCGTCATCAGCCCCCGTCTACGGCGCTGCCGCATTTCAATCGGCGCGGCGCAGAGGAAGCGGCGGCCGGACGCGCGCCTCATCGCGCTTTCTTCGATTCTTCGCGGTAGAAATCCTCCGCCGGACGTGAGATCGGCATCGGTAAGATCGAACAGGGGATCGGTCGTTGATGAGGCCGAATCACCAGGAAGGGTGTCTCTTTGCGAAATCTAATCAAACAAAAATTTCAAGTCAAAACGCTTATTTTTACGCGGCTTATCACGAGACAGCTGTAGTTCCAATTAGAAGAAGATAAAGAGAGAAATTGCCGTGCTATGAGATTGCGTTTACTTTAGAATTTGGGCTTCAATAAAATAATCTAATACGATTCGCTGACCAATGCCAAAAGTGTTGGTACATTGATTTATTAAATCATCTTCCAAATATAAGAAACGAATGGTGCAAAATGAGATAATATGTAAGAATATTTCATGCATGAATTGCAGTTAGCGTAAATCCAATAAATCCTACGAAATTGTTACGGGTTTTGTAAAAAAGAAAACAATATATACTTCCTGTCTTCGTCATAGAGAGTCAGAGAAAATTTCCTAGAGTTTTTTCCAGTGCAATCCGGCATCAGCGTTTTGTGACATGTCTAATTAATCGTCTTCGCTCCGCATTTTGTGACATGTTCGATTAGTTGACCGCGTCAGAGAGTCCACGTCACAATGAGGTACGTCACCCGCCATCATTTCTCTTATCAGGCGCAGCTATTATACTATCGTTTGAATAGAGATGACTACATCCTTAATTTTGCCAGGTGCAAAAGTATGTACGGGCGTCTCTTTGATTCTTTTTAAGTCGATGCTTAATTGTCGGGACATCGCAGCGATGTCATTGACATTGGGACGTCATAGCAAATTTATTTGTTCATTTGGATTTCGCAGCGATAACATTGAAAGTTCATCAATTTATTAACATTTCCATAATATTCGGAAAAATATGTGAGAGTAAATTTGCCAGGTTTATCTTACAACGTTGCAAAGTATTGGTAAATGCCTAAATTTATTATGTAGTCCGCTTCTTCACATTGTCGCGATAAAATGTAAAGTTTGACAAATAGAATAACATAGTTAATCGTGTTTCTTTATACATCTTATGACTAAAACATAACGCAAGACGCATTATTTACATATGCATTAGATCGATGCGAAAGTTCAGTAGCTTCTATCGCACGGAGGAAAGCATTTAGTGAAAGTTCCACGAAGTAAATAATGTCTTTTTATCTACCTTCAGATAAAAGTTTAATCTTTAATAACTATCGTTATTGATTATTGATTTTATCGGATTTTACAACGAGTAACAATATTAAAAATTTAATAATAACGTCTTTGTGAAAACAAGCTATTTTTAAATCTAATTGAATCACGTGACAATTATCTTCTCGAGATATTTCTCGAGAGCAAATTTGGAAAAATCGTAATTTAGGCTCAGACGTTCAGTAGGAAAGAATTTAATTTTTACCGTAGAAAAAGATCGAAGAGAAAAAAAAGCAAACGTGTAAAATTGCAAAAAGGTATGAAACTGTCCTATATTGGGAACGGCACGAATCTAAGAAGAGTCGCGTAGGCGCGTGGATTCGCGTGCATCGCGGACGCGCAGATGATAGAAGTAGCGGGGGGGACGAGCGCCCAGTGAAGAAAGAGAGGGATGGGCAGAATGCGAAGGCGTGCGAAGCGGAATGACATTGTTTGCACCCGTGACGTCACTCGTAATTGTAACGAACAATGAGAGAGGCACGACTGTGCGCTCGCGAGCCGCATGTGCCCCGGGGTCTAGGGTTACCTGACGTCAGTGGCAGGCTGGCAGGCTGAATAGTACGAAAAAAAAAGCACCGTGGCTCTGATCTCGCAATCGCAGGTTGAAGGAACCGCTCGCCAATTAGGTTTCTGGTAGGCCGTGACAGCGTAACAATAAATACGTGCATCCTTATTGATTCATTTGATCATTCATTTATTCTTTCCTTCGTTTAAAAAAGAAGCGTGTTTTTTCACAAGAAATATT